GGGATGGTATGTCCCATGGCTAACACCCTTTCTCTCAACTGCCTAGGAACCACCAGCTGCTCTGCCCTGCCCTCTCCTGGCTCATGGTAAAGCAATCCCTCCTTCACTACGTAGCCCTCTCCAGACAGTGAAGTAGGCATCCCAGTGGACATACCATCTATTTGTGTGACCCTGTCATACGCTTTCTGCAAAGTGGGGTCCTCTCTCTGCAACTGCCCCAAATTATCTGGGACCTCACCCCAATCATCCACTGGCTGGGTAAGTTGTCGCTCTTCATTTCTCTCTATGGCGCCCACTAGCCTAGCCTGCCTCCGCTGTCTTCTGGTCTTCCGGCACCTTGTTTTGCCTGGAGGGGTATTCTCCGCCTCTAGAAAAGGCAACTCTGACAGGCTATTTGGCTCAGTCGACTCATCTGTCTCCTCTTTCTCAGGGTCCTGCACTTGGTTCTGAGATCGAGTAATGACCATATTCACTGGCCTGCTGGAGTGCACTAATTCTGGTAGCACAATAATGTCCCAACTTGGACGTCATGTTGACGTTCAACATTTGACCGTTAAACTGGGTCATTTTTTGGACCTCATTTGGACGTCTATTACAGGTGCAGGAAATTTACATGATTAATATGCAATACTTTTTTATTTACAAATATCAACATTGTTGTTATCAACATGATTAATACATATGAATACAGATTATTTATAATTATTTAAGATAATTGTCCAAAAACTCCATTTGATTGTCTCAGCAGAAGTTGGTAATTGACACATATAAAGGTGTAATGCTGTAGCTCAAACAGTAGAGCATTGGCACTTGTGTGACAGCCACCTAGTGCAACACCTAGATCATGGGTTCAATTCCCAGGGAAAGCAGGAATGTAAATGTGTAATGCAATGTAAGTCACTGTGGATAAAAGCATCTGCCAAAAGCATAAATGTAAATACATGGTACAGATAAAAGTCCTCTACCCTTTTGAAACATGGGACTACAGTTATAGAAGATACTAAATTTGATGTTGAAAAGACGTCCACAAACGACCACATTTGGTCCCACCGACGTCAATATTAGACGTGCAAAAGACGTCGAATAAAGACGTCACCTGGCGTTACAAAACAACCCCTTCAGTGGACCGAAATTGGACGTCCAAAAATTACATAGAAAAGACGTCACTCTGACGTCACATTGCACAGTGGGACAGCTCTTCTTGGTTCGTTGCGTTGCCTGGAGCCACACTATCCAGTTTGGTTCGCCTGCCTCAGGTTATTGAAGTGGGACTCACGCTACCTGAAGGACGTTGCTGCTATTATCTGCTGGAAATCCTGTGTATGCGGTGTTGGGTGTGACGGCCAAAGTGACGGAGAAATACCGCTCTTCCTGGTTTGTTGCGTTGCCTGGAGCAACACTATCCAGTTTGGTTCGCCTGCTTCAGGTACTGATCTTGGTGTCCATCACTTTTAACCTCACGTCAAAGCCTTCGAACTCTCCTCCTCACTTTTTAACCACACGTAAAAATCAAAACTCATTTTCCCGGCCAGGGATTCCCGGCCATTGCACAGACTGCTTCACGTGGTCATTATACACCCGCACCCACACACACGCTCCGTACATGCACGCGCATACACCAAATACATATGTATTTGTTTATTATTTATTTTCTTTGTTTTGTTTATTGCGTTTTCTTTGTTGATGAAGTGGAACATGAAAGACTGAGTTCAAACATATAGCGAACTTATGGACACTTGTGATCCAATGACTCTCGTGATTTCTCTTTGTGTGAATATAACTTGAAATTGTTTCATTTGTTTTGTCATGTGAACAAAAAATAATAATAATACAAACTCTGTGAAAATTAAATTGTGGGTATCAGTTTATTAATATTTTTTTGTATGTAACAGTGGTTGGAGCTATCCAGCATATATATATTTTTTTCTTGACAAGTTGAACTTGTCTGGCGCCCGAATGATTTTAAACCAAACCTAGCCTTATTGAAAACTAGGGCTGGGCGATATGGCCTAAAAAAAAAATCCCCGATTTTTTCACAAAAAATCCGATTTACGATTTAAATCGATTTTTTTCTCTCCCTACTTAAAATCAATCTGTAGATGAAAAAGAAATTGTTCAAAACAAGTTTTAACTCTATTTTGTTTTGATATTCCCTTCTGGGATATTATCTGGATTAAAGCGCAATCAGAAAGAACAAGCCAAAAAGACAGGGCATTGTAGTGTAAATGTAACATAACATAAAATGGGTGGATTGGGATTGGGGGGATGTGTAAAAAAAAAAAAAAAAAATAACTTGCATCACAATGTTTATTGTGATTGTCAAATTATTTGGTAACTAAACATAATTTTATCAAGTTTATTAACAATGTAAACACAATGTTTACATGGTACAAAGACTGGTATGCTACTGTTTTTATTATTGCTTATTTCACAATTTCAATTCAATTCTTGTGATTTGATTCGGATACTGATTCACTATCAATTCCTTTGGGTAAATATTAGGTACAGTAGATAGCCTACCTTAATGTGTTATGTTAATTGTTCTACAAAAATAAATCACCTAATGCTGTAAACATACAGAGAGACCCTGTCAGCTGGTATTATTAAAGGTTAAAACTAACTCAAATTAAATATGTGTTTTTATAATAACAAACAACGTTATAATATTTTAATGATATAGGTAAAAATATAATAAATGTGTAATATAGTTATCATATTTAGCAAAATACTCCTCTCTATAGCAGTTATTTTAAGTCCAACTAACATGCCTGCTATGGGTAATTAAAAGGCATTCCTGAGGTAAATGTAACGTTACATGACATATGTTGTTCTCCAGCTGTTTTATGGACATCTTTCCGCGGTTGAAAAACACTGATCGATCGATTTTATTACATTTCGATTAGTTAGTAGTGAAGAGTAACAGTAACAGATGATCGGTTCACGTGCCGCTTGAACTGAGATCTGTCAGCGATCTTTCACGTCACATTTACAAGCGCCAAAACGGTGTTTATTGTTTGAATTTCGTAATAAAATTGACAGAATCTGAGAGCTGAGAATCTGTTTCATATCAATAGTAACCTGCTCTGTCTAGTCTGTCGGTGTCAGTGTGCTTTTTGCTGCGCGATTTTTCTATGCGTGAGAAAATGCATGTGTGCGTGAGAGCATGTAAAAAGTGACAATTGCATCTCTCACAGTGAACTCGTGCGAGTTGACAGCCCTGCAGATTCAGTTTGTAAATGTTTTCGGCGGGTGTGCTTCTGCTGCCGCGGTCTTGTTCATTTGCCATGTTGTTTGTGTATCTCTATTACCCCATTTCCACCAAAAAAGAACTGGTTCGGAACTGGTGCTGGTTCAAAGTTGGTTCAAAGTTAGTTCAACTTGCGAACCTTCTCATAACCTGTTTGTTTTTCCACTGACTAGAGAGCCCAGCGAACGACTGGGCTCTCTGAAATATAAAGCTGAAATATTAAATGTTATGGATTAATATTTGTAGAGGGGGATCAAAAGACAATTTCACCTGAGATTTGGAGCCAAATTACAGGGGTGTAAAACGACTTCAGAAAGATGGCAGCATCATTATTTTATTTTTACATGGAGATTGGTAGTTAAATCTGTTTAATTTAGCAATCTTTGTTGCCTTATATGCCAACGTTGACCGTTCGAAAATACGTTTAAAAAGGTACGTTATACGCATGTATTTTGATTGAGGGAAACAAGATACATTTCTAGTTTCAACACTAGGTCTTTGAAAGAAGAAAAGTGTCAGCTGTATGCACTGTGACCCACATTTGGTTTTTGACCCCTGAAAATGTGTACAATTGACCAGTTTACTCATGGAGCCGCATTAATATCTCTATCTCTGGGATTGAACCATATTAGGCCTTTAAAATGAAGATAAGCTTACCAAAACAAAAGAATCTGAAAGGATATTAAGATATCTGACAAGTGACAGACATGCAAACTTCAGGCAAAAAAACACAAGTGCTTTAGATAGTCAACAGATTTAACTAACAGACCTACCAATCTCTGTGTATAAATAAATAATGACGCTGCCATCTTTTATAAAGTCATTTTACACCCCTCCAAATCTCAGGTGAAAAGTGTGATTTTGATCCCCTCAGCAAAATAGTGGATTACTCAGTAAATATACATTCATGACATTTAACATTCGGCTTTCATCACTATTTATGTTTGTCTTTCTTCAGAAAAACTAAATAAAAAAAAATGTGAGCCAGGGACCTCTGGTTGAGCTATATTTGAATGTTTATTGTTAAATATCTGGTGAAAACAACCATGCCTACAATAGAAAGGTTTGTTTTCTACATTGTCCAAGACCAGGGCTCAGAAATGAGGATTTGCATCGTACATGATCTATAATATAACAGCGACAGCCATTTTTATTCCTTGTAAACTTGAAACTTTGTTTTTCCGTGATATTTGGTTGTGAATTCTTCTTGTCAGCTAGTTGAAACATTGATTATGGTTTGTCAATCCGATTCCAGAATTTAATACTCGATTATGATGACTATAATAATACCCAGTGTGTTGCGGAGGCCGTCTCAAAATCCACACGCACTCGCAGCAGAGACGCATCATTTCCTCATTCTCATGCCGTGGTGGCACTACTACTGCCTCTCATGACATTATAAACCCGTATGAGTCTTATGAGAAACATGAGAATGTTTTGGTCTATAATTAATGCAATACTTTTTAGAGAAGAGTAATTAGTTCATTGACAGCCAATCAAAATCCACTTCCAGAACCCAGTGAATGGACAATGAAAGTCATTGGCGTGTAAAAGCAGTCACTTTCAGGCAAGTCCTTTCACTTGGCGCCGGCCATCTTTGAAATGCCCCTCGGACAGATGTTCATCTCCCTGAATGGGGAAACATCAAATTCTCCAAAGCTGTTTATCAAGCTTATGATTAAGTTTCATATTTGAAATCACCAGTGAAATCTGACAACAACAAAATGGCGGATCAAGTCCCGTCTTCTTTTTGTGGTTTGTTTCTCTCTGTGTGTCTCCTTAACATTATGATCACTTTTTAATCACTGTCCATTCCTGCTGCCCCACGGAGAGGATGTTCAGAAGGTTTTAGAGCAGTGGAAAGAGTATAAGATGGGTGTGCCGACATTTGGGGCCATTATTCTTGATGAAACGCTTGACCATGTAAGTCCACAGCTGCTAGAAGCATCACTATCCATGCTACGTGATTTTGAAAGAGGGTTGCGACGACCTTCGTGTATTCATAAGAGTGCTTATTGAAGCTTTCTGTGTACCTGAAGGTGTTAATGGTCCAGGGTTATCTGGCCAAGTCTGGCTGGGGTTTTCCTAAAGGGAAAGTCAATGAAGACGAGGCTTTCCATGACTGCGCCGTGAGAGAAGTACGTCTTGTTCTTGGCTGTGAAAATACGAATGTTGCTCTGATACATTTAGAGGTCAGATGTCATCCTTGTTCTGTTTTCTCTGCAGGTTTTAGAGGAGACGGGCTTTGATATCCGAGATCGTATATGCAAAAAGACGTATATCGAGCAGAGAATTTTAGATCAGTTGGCCCGATTGTACATTATCCCGGGAGTTCCTAAAGACACCAAGTTTAACCCCAAGACCAGGAAAGAAATAAGGGTGTATATACATTTGGATGCTTTTGTTTCGCCTGAATACAAGCACGTGTGTGTAACGCATCCACTGAATCTCTCTGTTCGTTTGATTTCTGATAGAACATTGAATGGTTCCCGGTGGATAAACTGCCGTGCCACAGGAACGACATGACTCCTAAATCCAAGCTTGGACTGGCGCCCAACAAGTTTTTTATGGCTATTCCGTTTATGAGGTACTTCTTCTCCTGTTGCATCATTAATGAGCATCTGAAGTGGACCGTAGGGGTGCTGTGGCACGACTGAAGCTGTGATGTGCTGATTTGCAGGCAGCTCAGAGAGTGGATCGCCAAACACAAAGGAGAGTCGACGAGCAGCGATGAGGATTTTGCGTCCAATGGCAGCACACCATGCAAACCATTCCGGTGCGATGATTCTTGCTATAGAAGCCTTTCGCCATCATGCTTTCATGCCTGCAAAGACTTTACATTTTGCATAAAGGAGCTAATAGTGCAGTTTAATATTTTAGTGGCTGTGCAGTTAAAGAGGGACACAATTGAAATGACTATAAATAGCTTATTTGACGATTATTTATTTGTGAAATATGTGTTAGATAACCTACTGAAGGCTCATTATCTGAGGCCCCGTCCAAACTACTGCGTTTTCGTTTAAAAACGGAGACCTTTTGCTACGTTTACACCTCCCGTCCACACTAAAACGGAAAAAACTGAGACCCAAAACGGAGAAGTTTAGAAACGCTGCCGAGCCGTTTTTCGTTTTGAATCTCCGGAGGGCGTTTTAGTGTAGACGGGTCCAAACCATAGACTGTAAAAAAAGATGGACGACGCCCCTTCGCTCTTTTCCATTGGAGAGAACTGAAGCCGCCAGTGTCCCGATATGGCGCTGACATCTTGGGACTTGAGTCTGCGCAGTAGCGTTTTCGGGACCAGTCATGCGCAGTCGTGAGCTAGAAGTAAAGCCACGAAATCAAGGCCCCGCCCTCACTCTCGCTGAATCAATCGCAAGCACACGCCCTGCAGTTTTCTTAAGTGGCCTCTGTCTGCTCCGTTCCTCTCCAATGATGTCTGCTGATTGCAGTACCTCGTTAAAATAAGGTAAATACAACCACTGACCACATAGTCAACATTATGAGAAAAAGTCCGTTAGTACTTCAGTGACTACTTCGCACAGAGAACCTGTCAATCACAGCTGTCAATCATGATGTCACAGCATGCTTTTTATAGCATCAAATAACTAACTAAAACTAACTTATCTTAAAAACAAACACTTGAAATTACATAAACGTGATAGAAACTACAGTAAATGACAGAAACTATCTTTAGAAAAAAGATATGTGAAGTGTAATTTAATTATTTAGTTGGTCTCACGTCCCGTTGAATAACATGGGGAGGCGGGGCTTATGAGCTATACCGGCCTCTAGGGGGCGATCGAGACGTTTTGGCTTCACTTTTGAGGGCTTGTGCGGCACGCTTGGTCCAAACGGAGGACTTTAGAAACGATGACGTAGTAGAGGCTCACGCTCGGCTCTGTGATTGGGTGTCATCAGTCATGGCGTATATCTTTGCTAGCAGCTGTTGTACAAGTAAATTCTGCATTTTACAACGCTATAACTGCCTACATGCGCCGGAGTCAAGCTATTATTCCAGCGATCTGTGACCAATTCCCGTGTGCAGCGGCGGCGTTGACCGTACATGGAGCGTCGGTTTGGGCTTAACCCAGAGCATGGTGGGATCATTTTATCAATGAAGTTGTGTTTACACCGGCACGCGCATGCCCAGTGTTGGTGAATGGTCACGTGATCCGCGTTTTCAGTCGTTTTAATGTGGACGGAGATCAATTCTAATACGCAGCTAAAACGCTGGTGTGGACGGAGATCGTATTCGTTTGAATTCTCCGTTTCTAAACTAAAACGCAGTAGTGTGGACGGGGCCTGAGGTGCGTTAAGACTGAATAGTCATTCAGAAAGCCCACTGACTTATTTTCACTGATGAAAATAATCAACTATGAAATATGTATTATCAGTGTTGGGTGTGGTTAATTACTGTACTTTAATTACTTTTCCCTTGAAAAAGTAAAGTAAGAGATTACTTTTTCTGTAGTTATTTCTGATGTAATTGCATTAAATATAGATTAGAGAACAATTCTACATATAACAATAGTGGATTTAACATCAAAATGTAACGTCTAATGTTAAAATGTATGTTATTAATATAAACTTCTGTCTTTAAATACTTTAGTCAGTTCAAGAATAATTTATGCAATTTTATATTTTTTTATATTTATTTGCATAAATTAAACGAGCCGTTTCATGTCTATCCTTGTGTTGTTCGACTGCTCGGGGTTGAAAAGGGATTTAATAAGTGATTAGTAATAAGTAATGCAATACTTTTTTATACAGAGTAATAGGTACAGTAATCTAATTACACTGTTGAATATGTAACTTTTTTAGAGTAACTTACCCAACACTGATTATGATATGAAATTTTGAACTACATTCGCAAAAACCAAGTGTATGATTTTCTGTGGAGTTGTGATGGACTTGATGACATCGCTGTTTTCTCCAGAGCTGCTTTAGAGCTGAATTGAACTGATTTCATAATTGATGATCTTTACACAGTTATTGAACTGAACTGAATCAACACTGGACTGACTTCAGCTGATCAATGACTCTATTGTCTCTTTAGAGCTGCTTTACAGCAGAACTGAACTTAGTTTGCATCATTATTTTCCCGTTTATCCCCGTGAAGCTGCTTTGCAACAGTCTGTAATTAATAAAGCTCTATAGGAATAAAGGTGGCTTGACTTATGCTGCCGCGTGCTGCTGAATGCGCAGTCAGATGACTGTTGAAAGGATGACATGCACTAATTTTGGTGTCGCTCCTCTGCTCAGCTCAAAGCCCAGAAAATCTCAGATGTTGGTGGAAGCGTCTCCAGTATCGGCTGACAGCTGGGCAAAGCAGAAACCACAGAAAGCTGCTGGACAAACCTCCCAGAGTGAGCTTGTAGACATGCTTAAACCCAAGGTAGGTGTTCACATCATAAAATAACTCAAGTGCATAAATAAAGATGCTATGATAGGTACCGGGCGGTAGGTGTGAACAGTATAACCAACTTGTATAGCACAGAGAAAATAAAGCTTATAAAGACAAAATTCTGATCTTATTCAGTTTATTGCACTTTTAATTACCCTTTTTGATATCAAGCACGTCACGCTCTTTATTTTCTCATTCATCCATGTTTTTTTTATCCCTCAGTTGTGTCTGTAACTGCATTTCTGCCCACTGAAAGCTGCACAAATATATTTACATACCGTGATATAGCAAACAATGCTGCAAAATGAGTGCATTTTCGTTATGAAATGAAATGAAATACACTTTATTTCTCAAGGACTCAAGGGGTTTACATTGACAGAATCATTGGAAGCGTAACAGACAACTAAAAACTCTACACACAAATATAAATAAATAAATACTCATTCGTCATTTAACAATTTAATTGAAAAAGGAATAAAAGACTTCTTAAAACGGTTATACCTACACATCGGAAATCTGTATCGTCTTCCAGAAGGTAATAATTCATACTCAGTGTACAGAACATGCAATGGATCAGCCACGATTGTATGTGCTTCTCTCAGAACCGATTGACTAAAGCGTTATATAAGCCATGAACCAAGCCAACCAGCTACGAGCTGAATCAAAACACTGCAAACTTTGATTTGAAAGCATTTCAAAGTTGACTTAAAGCAAAAAAAGTTCATAAAAACCGCACAAAATACAAAGGTACAATTTGAGTGATTCCAATCATATTTCAAACAGTTGCGCATCTGATGCGTCTCAGCTGAAGAAAACAATACACTATTTATCAGCTTAAATATATCGGCCTAATTTTCTTCTCATTAGAAATGAACATATATCGGCCGATACCGATATGATGCATCCCTAGTTTATAAGTTATCGTTCAAAATCCCAATGGAGAAAAGAAAAGTAGTTTTTGCTTCTGGAACCCGACCGTTGCACTCTATTGACTGACACTTTATTTTGTTGTGGCGAAATCTCATGGGCTTATGCAGTTGTTTGGAAGACATTTTCTGTATAAACATTTTTTACAGCTCAGATAAACTGCTCTATTTCACAGTCACTGAGTCATCATGTGAGCCAGTTTGTTTATTATTGCTGATTCAGTGATTGGTTCTGGTGTTTCATTGCAGAATAATGTGAAAGGCAATGGCAAGAAACACCAAGAGTCTCCAACCCTGAAGAAACGAGCTAATGGTGTCAGTCAGCAGCAGGCGAGTTCCTCCATGTCGCCACACACACTATTTCTGAACGTTACAGTAATCTTTATCAGTATTGTGTAACAATATATTGTCTTGTAGAAAGATGACAAGAAACTTCAGCCAAGGCGACTGCAGGATAACTTTGACACAGGTATTTAAATAAGCCTTTTAAAACAGTGATGCAATAGGGATTAGAATTGGGGTGTTGTTATATTGCTAAATCAAACGAATTGCACTTCATCACAAGCAAAATCCTCACGCATATCCAATATGTGATTAGAACTTACGAATGTTTGAAGACTTTGTAATACACGAGAGTGAAGGTGCGGTCACGGTTGCCGTCGGCGGGTGAAATTTCTGTAGAAAGATTTCCCAGAGGGTTGCAGTTAGTCACTGGGATTCGCCCGGTTGACCAGCAGAAAGCTCTCACACATCACTACACTAATGACAGTGGTCCTTTAGACTAGAAACTTTGCTAATGTGATGCGCCTTTAGGTCATTCATCAAATAGTATGTTTACCGCATGAATTAAAAAAGTTGTGTTAATCTGAATGTCGAACATCTACACCTGTTTTCCCAGACGCAGCTGCTGATGGCTATAATGGACAGGCAGACTTGTGTTGTGAAGAATATGAACACATCCTCTCCTCACGCTCCTTTCTCAGCTTCAAATTCGACAGGGAGGCCATCATGAAAACCTGCTTTGAGTCCTGAAGATCTGTCTCTGCTTTTTAAAAGATTTGATGCAGAAGATTTTGCTTTGGATCTTCTGCCCTGTGAAACCTGTTATTGGAGAGGCATTGTGTGTTGGACCAAGATTAAAGATATATCAAAATATTCCTTTTTACACACACTAATGTCAGTTCCTATCAATCTGGATCTGGAATGCTGTTAGCTTGAGTTCTTTGTAGACTTCATATTTTATGCTAAAACTTGTGCCCAATCATGAGGGCATCAAACATTTGTGTCTCTAAAGAAGTTGTTCTTGGTAAACTTGCTCTTAGTGATCTGTTATGAAACTGGTTTGTCTAAAACACATTTATCAATAATTTGGTTCAGAGCCCTTGAAGTACTCTTGTTTCATTGTGAACAAATGTTACAATAATAATCAGTCCAGCTGTGTGTTGAATTTCTATGGCTGAAGTCATCTCAGTATTCATTGTTTGCTGTTTTTGCTGTGTTTTTCTTACAACCTTGCAATTCTAAGAAGCTGTTCAGAAAGCATGCTTTTAGAACGTCACATGACTGGTACTGTACAGATTTCTCCTTGTGCAAAAGCAGTAAAAACCATTCAAGCACTATATACTTAAGTCCAGTCAGCAAATGTCTGCTTGACATTGATGCGTATTTGATTTTGCTTTTTGATGAATCACATTTCATCCATGTTTCCCATGTGTTCTTCTGTAGTTTAGTTTCCTGTGCCATGAAGTCTTTTTTCTGTTGGATATTTTTATTATTCTTCAACTTCTTCCCAGTTTCCCCGCCCTTCATGTTTACGATACAATATTAACATTTTCTCTATGAAATGGCACTGAAATTTGTAGTAAGTCACTTTACAATTATGCAACATGATTTGCTTAACCGCAGTATCCATGGTTTGTATTGGGTTTTTTTCTTCTCATTTTTTGGTAAATAAAGACACTTTCTTAAAGAGTGATGGTCTGTTCTGTTTTGCCTTTTACACATTCAGAAAAATATTTATTTTTCAGAGTGAAGCAAGGATTATTTTGTGAGAAATAGTATTTCTGTCCAAATATATGTCTTTTCTAATTTTATAAAAAGGTGAGTATAGTGCAGTATTGTACACTTAGTCTACCGTTTATAGTTCATGAGATATTTCAAGTTATCAAATATGTACACCTTGCATCATAGATATTTTTTTCTTGCTGAAGCTCAAACATGCTGTTTAACATGAGAATAAACCTCATTGGTTTTTGCTGAAGCTCAAACGTGCTGCGTAATTCAAGAATGAATGCTACGAAGTTAGCGCAAAGGCGCCATCTAGTGGCCATTGGCAGATGCGCTGGAAGCGATTGCACAAGAGAAATGCGACATAAACAGCTGCGCTCTCCACAGCAAGACTGTTCCAGAAGTCGCGGTGCAGTGTTTGTGTTAAAAATTAATAACTGTGTACGTCCTTATTAGAAAAGTGAGTTTCATTTATCCCTTACTTGTTTAAGATCGATTTTATATGTGACTATCTAGGAATAATCAAGTATTTGGGTGAGAGAAATGATAAATCATGCCGTGTAGTTAGCAAAGAATTAACGTCATTGTAGAATTCTTATGAATGTTGTTTGTAACTGATTTAACATTTACATTACATTTAAATGTATTCATTTAGCAGACGCTTTTATCCAAAGCGACTTACAGATGAGAACAATAGAAGCAGTGAAACTAACATAGGACAACAATATGCAAGTGCTCTGAAACCTCTCAGTTTCATCTAACGCAGACCATAATTTTATTTTATTTTAAATAGAATAGAAGAGAAAGTGTTAGTGCTAGTGGATCAAGTGCTGCCGAAAAAGAAGCGAAGAAAACAAAATGAACCTCATTGGTTCTTGCTGAAGCTCAAATGTGCGAGAATGAACCTCATTGGTTCTTGCTGAAGCTCAAATGTGCGAGAATGAACCTCATTGGTTCTTGCTGAAGCTCAAACGTGCGAGAATGAACCTCATTGGTTCTTGCTGAAGCTCAAATGTGCGAGAATGAACCTCATTGGTTCTTGCTGAAGCTCAAATGTGCGAGAATGAACCTCATTGGTTCTTGCTGAAGCTCAAATGTGCGAGAATGAACCTCATTGGTTCTTTCTGAACCTCAAATGTGCGAGAATGAACCTCATTGGTTCTTGCTGAAGCTCAAACGTGCGAGAATGAACCTCATTGGCTCTTGCTGAAGCTCAAATGTGCGAGAATGAACCTCATTGGCTCTTGCTGAAGCTCAAGCGTGCGAGAATGAACCTCATTGGTTCTTGCTGAAGCTCAAACGTGCGAGAATGAACCTCATTGGTTCTTGCTGAAGCTCAAATGTGCGAGAATGAACCTCATTGGCTCTTGCTGAAGCTCAAATGTGCGAGAATTAACCTCATTGGCTCTTGCTGAAGCTCAAATGGGCGAGAACGAACCTCATTGGTTCTTGCTGAAGCTCAAACGTGCGAGAACGAACCTCATTGGTTCTTGCTGAAGCTCAAACGTGCGAGAATGAACCTCATTGGTTCTTGCTGAAGCTTAAACGTGCGAGAATGAACCTCATTGGTTCTTGCTGAAGCTCAAACGTGCGAGAATGAACTTCATTGGCTCTTGCTGAAGCTCAAATGTGCGAGAATGAACCTCATTGGCTCTTGCTGAAGCTTAAATGTGCAAGAATTAACCTCATTGGCTCTAGCTGAAGCTCAAATGGGCGAGAACGAACCTCATTGGTTCTTGCTGAAGCTCAAACGTGCGATAACGAACCTCATTGGCTCTTGCTGAAGCTCAAACGTGCGAGAACGAACCTCATTGGTTCTTGCTGAAGCTCAAACGTGCAAGAATTAACCTCATTGGCTCTAGCTGAAGCTCAAACGTGCGATAACGAACCTCATTGGTTCTTGCTGAAGCTCAAACGTGCGAGAACGAACCTCATTGGTTCTTGCTGAAGCTCAAACGTGCGAGAATGAACCTCATTGGTTCTTGCTGAAGCTCAAACGTGCGAGCTGAAGCTCAAACGTGCGAGAAAGAACCTCATTGGCTCTTGCTGAAGCTCAAACGTGCGAGAATGAACCTCATTGGTTCTTGCTGAAGCTCAAACGTGCGAGAATGAACCTCATTGGCTCTTGCTGAAGCTCAAACGTGCGAGAATGAACCTCATTGGCTCTTGCTGAAGCTCAAACGTGCGAGAATGAACCTCATTGGTTCTTGCTGAAGCTCAAACGTGCGAGAATGAACCTCATTGGCTCTTGCTGAAGCTCAAATGGGCGAGAACGAACCTCATTGGTTCTTGCTGAAGCTCAAATGGGCGAGAACGAACCTCATTGGTTCTTGCTGAAGCTCAAACGTGCGAGAATGAACCTCATTGGCTCTTGCTGAAGCTCAAACGTGTGAGAATGAACCTCATTGGCTCTTGCTGAAGCTCAAACGTGCGAGAATGAACCTCATTGATTCTTGCTGAAGCTCAAACGTCAATTCAATTCAAATTTATTTGTATAGCGCTTTTCACAATACATATTGTTTCAAAGCAGCTTTACAGAAAGTGCATTTCAGAAATGTACATGGAAAAATACATTTAGTTAATCATGTAATAATTTAGGGCATAACATATCGCCGGCGTTGAGTCGTCTCTTCACAGGTGTTGAGTCTCTTCACAGGCGTCGAGTCGTCTCATCGCAGGTGTTGGGGCATCTGAAGTCTCTGTGAGAGGCTGGATACAAACTGGAGCTGACGAACGCCATTTTCCTCGGGACTAGCGTCCTGAGATAACAGCAGAAAAGCAAATGGGAAATAATTAGCATAGCTGCTGTTCATAATGATTTCCATAACACGAGAGTAGATGTTAAAAACTAGAAGACAGTGACTCTGGTGTCCCAGTCACCCCCCTCCGTCCCCCACTCAACTCAGCCCAGCTCATTGGTTCATGTCCCCTGACATGAAATTTACACTTTCTGAGGTTTTTTAACATTAATATGAGTTCCCCTAGCCTGTATATGGTCCCCCAGTGGCTAGAAATTTCAATTGGTGTAAACCGAGCTTTGGCTATCTGTCTCTGCCTTTGAGAAAATGAAAGCTCAGACGGGCTGATCTTGAATCTCCCCTGTATGACGTCATAAGGAGGAATGGTAACCTCCCCTTTCTCTGCTTTGCCCGCCCAGAGAATTTGGCTCGCCCATGGGAAAGTGAGCTAGGAAGTACGAACGCGCGAGCGCGATTTGAGTTTTTCCTCGAGAGATCAACGTTTTTCTGATGCAGGTAGCGGTAGATAACTAGATGAATAGCCTAGAGATTGATGTGTGTGTGTGTGTGTCTGTGTGTGTACATGTGATTAATTGAGTTAGAAAATGTCTTTATTTAAGCTCCATCAGATGAGTCGCGTTACATCTAAGTATTTTGCTGTTTAATGAAGCCATTTAATGATTTTACGTAAAACAAGTAACGTTTTGATGCGTATTTTTGCCTTTGAGTCGCCATGGTATTGCAGTGAAGTGCAGTTTTTTGTGTGCCATGTAATCTTGAATCAGAATAAGTTCCTCTTGCAGCATCTCTACTCTTCTCTGATGACGAGGGCGGGGCTATAACCTGTCACTCACATGAGGACAGCCAATAGCAAACCACAACCAGACAATCAATTCCCTATGCACTAAATTAAGCCCCGCCTTACATTTTTTCTTGTTCGAGAAGCTGTTGTTGACAAATCAGGTCCTCCCTTGAAATCTGGTTGATTTTTTTCTCAATAAATTAAGTCTTAAAGGCACACTATGCAGTTTTCCGTTTTTTATCAAACAGCGACCCCTAGAATCGCTGTAGAGTATTTGTATTTATTGTATCCATCAACAAGAACGCCAGGTCAGCATCGCTGTTGCATCCTTTGCTGCTTTTTAGCTCTCGCCAACGAGTGAAAGCCTGACCGCGTGACTCTTGTCCGGTTCCTCACGCGGTCAGTTTCTCGTCTTCTTTTCCTCGACTCTCCCATGTAGTGTAAAGTGTAAATATTCAACAGACGTGTGTCAATAACACGTCAGGAAAGTGTCAGGAACAGTTGTGTGTATTATGTGTGTGATTTTAGAGACTAAACTCACCTGAAGGCAGTGAAAACAGCAGCGAGAGCGGGAGTCCATATAGGTGGTTCGTGGACAAACGCCCATACAAATAAGCTGCCATTGGACGCATAATGTCCCAGAGGGACCGTAGGGTGAATTGGGATGACAAATACCCATTATTTTAATGGCAAGTGGGCCTTTTGCAATTACCCCCATGTCCGCGGATCCCTACCTACTTGCCCCAGAATAGGGGGTATTCGGACACCTTTAGGGGGCGACACTGAGCTGAACCCCCCCCTGAACTCCCACTCCCTCCTCCCCCCACCACTCCCAAGCCACACCCCCGTCCCACGAACCCACTATTTGTCAGATTACCCACTATAGTGGCCAAATGTCCCGTCGACCCCCTCCCCCGACCTAAGCCACGCCCCCATCCCACGAACCCACTATTTGTCCGATTACCCACTATAGTGGCCAAATGCCCCGTTGACCCCCTCCCCCGACCTCTAAGCCACGCCCCATCCC